CATGCCTGTAATCCCAGCTACTTGGGAGGCTGAGGCAGGAGAATCACTTGAACCTGGGAGGGGGAGGTTGCAGTGAGCTGAGATCACGCCATTGCACTCCAGCTTGGGCAACAAGAGCAAAACTCTGTCTCAAAAAAAAAAAAAGAAACATGTAGGTGGGGATAAGAGTATTCTTAGGGGTTGGGTGGAGTCATACAGAGGTGCAAAAATAAAGGAAATATATAGAATAGTGCATCCACAGGTCAGGAATACCATGCCTCCACTTGCCCCAGGGTTCTGCACAATGCACACACTCAATAAATGTTAATTGACTGAATTAATAGGCTTCATAGTTCCAACATGCAGTCCAGTGCCTAATTAGCTAGTCCAGGCAAGCCCTCTTAATATTATATTTGGAGAATGAGAGACATGAACTGGTTGAGTGACCTCCTCAGGTCACCCTCTTTGTTAGAGGCATAATCAAGACAGGAGTCCAGAGGCACAAGCAACCACCAGCCACCAACGAACTGGCCCACCACTGACGAGGTCAGGAGCTGAGGACGCAGGAACGCTAAGACAAATGGAATCTGAAGTCTAAATTCAGAGAATTTTCAGTTCCCTCAAATCACAAATGAGAACATTTAAAATGAACTCATCAAACTCTCCTATGGGCTGGCTCGAGAAATAGGAGCCTCCAAGTTCCAGTGAGAAGTTGTGTAGGAAGAACTCTAAGACAGCACAAGGAAGACTCTTCTCACCACTTTGGTGAAGTTTCATAGAGAGGGCACGAGCTCCGGAAGCAGGCAGTCCCGGCTTTGAGTCCAGCTCTATTACTCACCAGTCATGACCTGAAGCAACTTAACCTCTTCAAGACTCAGTTTCTTCGACTCTAAAATGAAAATGATAATGATTGTCTCATAGAGTTGATGTGCAAAGTAAAGATGTGATATAAGCCCCTAACATGATGAGTGGTCCAAAATGGGCACTCAGGTACAAACCCACAAACAAAATGCTAGTTATGACAATGATTCCACTAGGAACAGCAGAGCATCAGCCAGAGGTCATGTAAAGTTTCCACTGACTTGATGAAAGGAAATCTAAAGTAATGAATAAACACATGAACAGGTCACTCAAACTGCAGATTACAAGGATAGTTCTTTTCAGTGTGAGAAAAATGCTGTTTGGTAGCTCACAAGCAGATTTCACGCTGGAGCAGTGCCCTCGACACAGAGCAGGCTGGGCTTTTTAAATTGCTCTCTTTCTCTCTCTCTCTCTCTCTCAGCTTCTGATACATGATGTTCAGCAAATACACCACATACTGGAGAATGATATATCATATACCCTGCAGACTGCTTTTTACGACAGACTCCCAAGATTGAGGGCAGAGGCACTTGAATATGCCCAAAGTTTTAAGAGTTAAGTTACTTAAAGCTACATCCTTTGGCATCATTTGCAACAGAGCTGGTTACCAAAAATGCATTTGGGGCTTCTCATTTTCCAACTAAAAACTACATTAAACCAGCACAGTGCATTGGAATTTTATATGAGATTACAATAGCTGACAACGTCCATGTCTCTATATCAAAGAGAAACCATCCCTTTTTCACAAGGAACTGATTTCAGAGGGAGTTGTACTTCTGAATGAGAGACACTCCAGCGATCTGGACCTAGAATCTCTGAGACTGTAGATGTTGAATAATATTAGTGTTATAAGAACCTCAGTTATTGTTGCTGTTATTGTTGTTGTTTTATTATTATTATTATTATTATTGAGATGGAGTCTCACTCTGTCGCCCAGGCTGGAGTGCAGTGGTACAACCTCAGCTCACTTCCACCTCCACCTCCCAGGGTCAAGCAATTCTCTTGCCTCAGCCTCCCAAGGAGCTGGGATTACAGGCGCACGCCAAGATGTCCAGCTAATTTTTGTGTACTTTTGTAAAGATGGGGTTTTGCCATGTTGGCCAGGCTGGACTTGAACTCCTGGCCTCAAGCAGTCTGCCCACCTTGGCCTCCCAAAGGGCTGGGATTCCAGGTGTGAGCCACCTTGCCTGGTCTGACCTACACTTTTCTAAGTCCATTTCTCACTTTTCAGGTCACATCTGAGGTGTGTGTTAGTAGCATCTGACACAGTGATGACTCCCTTTCCTCTGAAACAGTTTCTTTAATTGGCTTCCAGCACAAACCCTTTCTTCATTTTCCTCCTTTTCACTGGGCATTCCTTCTTAGAATCCTTCCCTGGCCCGGCCTTTTCTCTCCGACCTCATAATCTTGGAGGGCCCCAGAGCTCAGCCCTCAGACCCCTTCTCTTCCTTATTCACCCTCTTGGTGATCTCACCGGGTTTCATAGCATTAAATATCACCAGAAGCTGCCAAATGTGCACCTCCAGCTCAGACTTCTATCCTGAACTCCAGACTTCTTCTTTGTTTTTTGTTTGTTTGTTTGTTTGTTTTTTGAGATGGAGTCTCACACTGTCGCCCGGGCTGGAGTGCAGTGCCACAATCTCAGCTTACCGCAACCTCCGCCTCCCAGGTTCAAGTGATTCTCTTGTCTCAGCCTCCCAAATAGCTGGAATTACAGGCGACTGCCACCACGCCCAGCTAATTTTTGTATTTTTAGTAGAGACGGGGTTTCGCCATGTTGGCCAGGCTGGTCTCGAACTCCTGGCCTCAAGTGTTCCGCCCGCCTCGGCCTCCCAAAATGCTGGGATTACAAGCGTGAACCACCACGCCCGTCCGAACTCCAGACCTTTATCGAGCTGCCTGCTTCGTGTATCAAAGTTAACAAGCCCAAACTTGGACTTTTGTTCTTCCCTTTGAAGCCAGCTCCACTCCCAGTCTGCACTCCTTCAGTCGATGGTGACTCTATTCAAAACCTTTCGAGTCTTTCTGGACTCCTCTTACTTTTTTTTCTTTTCTCACATCCAAATCTTGTTGGCTTCCTCTTCAAAATATATCCTGCATCCAACCACTTCTCACTACCTCTACTGCTGCCACTGTGTTCCAATCCATTGTCATCTCTCTTGGATTATCACATTCACTTCCTCATGACAGTCTCACTGTCGCCCAGGCTAGAGTGCAGTGGAGCAATATCGGCTCACTGCAACCTCAGTGATCTTCTGATAGCCTTGTAGTATAAAGCAGTTCTCTCTCTTGACCCATCATAGCTGTCCAGGTACCATTTAAAGAATAACAACAACAAAAGGTGACCATTTAGACAATTTAAGAATTACTTCCAAAAAGCAAACACATGGAAAAAAAAGCAAAACAAAATATAGGCTAGTGAGCACAATTAATTCCTACAGCCAGTTACAAATCCTTGCAACTTTCTCATTCCTTTAGGTTCATAGAAGTCAGAAGACTTCAGGTTAAGGAAAGCCAGGAATATAAAAGCCAAGGTCGGCTTTTAATTTACCTTCAACATGATCAAAACTAAACTTTTGCCCGGGAGTTTTCTCAGTAACAAAGGTGAGCAATTTCACCTTCAAAGGCATTTTTGGGTCTACTCAACAGCTTTGATTGCACTATTCCCTGTTTTCCTCAGAATTAGGTTTCACATTTGTAAATGTTAATAAACTAGTCCTGCTTTCCCAGGTTTCATGCTCAATCCTGAATGTCCTTAGGCGGCACTGTGAAGTTTATAAAGGCTCTGCTTCTTTTGCCTTCCTTTAAAGGATGGTGTTCCACTAAGATTCACCTTTCCATCTTCCACTCTCTTATCTTAATGTACATACTTTCCCTGGGTGATCTTTTCCACTTCTTCCCATATGCTCATGACTCTCAACCCTCTACCTATCTCTAGCTTGGGTCTCTCTCTTGAGCTTCAGATCCATATATCCCTGGATGTCCCATTCTCAAACACACTGTGCACATACAGAGTTCTTTTTCTCTGCCAAATGTACACCTCTTCCTCCTTTTCATTTTCCTTACTGGTGCCAAGATCCATCTAATCACTCATACCAGAAACCAGAGCATGGTGCTATAAGATCACAGAGGAGAAACCAAGGATAGTAGCAATTTGCTGCAGGGTAGGAATGCAGGGAGGCATTCCAAGTGACATAAGGTAACTATAGAGATGCCAAAATAAGAAAAAGCATGGTATGTGTACTGTTAGGATAGAACAGGATAGGCCGAAGTAACGAATAAAACCTCATAATCTCAGTGGCTTTTTTCTCATTTAAAAAAAAAAAAAAAATCTTATGCCAATTGGTCAGCGTTCCTGCAACAGAAATTCAGGACCCAGCCTGCTTCCATTTTACAACCCACTGAGTTAGAGTTTTGCACATCCTAGCATATGGACAAAAAAGAATAAGCATGAAGAACTCAGACTCCCTCTTAGTTTTCCTGAACCAGAATGCCATATCCTGCCACTTACTTTTTTGTTGTCAAAAATTTGGTCAGGGTCCCAACCTAGCTGCAAAAAGAAACTGGGAGATGTCTTCTCATCTGCCTAGGAAGGTGAAATGAGGTAGTGAACACGTAGCATTTTCCCCACTACAACATGGTTAGGAAACTGTAAGAAGACTGGCATACCTGAAAACCAATGGGAATTATGGGTTGGGTTGGGGGTGTAATATGTATTGTGGAGAGAGGGTAGGTAGACTGTGCTAGGAAACACAAGAACGTAGGTACCATGGCCAATGTAACTAGAAGGACTGGGTGGAGTCAAGAGCCTGAGTGTCATGCTGAGAATAGCATGCCAGTTCAATGGGAGTTTAAAGATGGGAAGAGAGCAAAGACAGGGAGAGGTGGTCAGTGGAGAATCCTAGAGCTCAAACTTCTCAACCTGAGAGCCCCAAGTAAAGGACCAGCTCCTGCTCCAGGACCAGACTGAGGTTCCAATTGCTTTAAGAATCCATGGAGTGCAGACAAGGATCTGAGACTCTGACCTAAAAACAAACTGAAAAGTTCTGTGTTCATTACCTCTGGACATTGTGTGATCCTTCCTCTAATGGCTTGGTTCCCACCACCTCCCCACTGGCTCTCCCCTCTCAGCTGCATCCCATCTCCCTCTGCAGGCTCACCTCCCTTTTCTCTCCGGGTTCAGCCTTTCATCTTGATTTTGGTGGGTGCGGGTTCTTGGCCCCTTCTCATGGGACGCTGCCTCCAGTAGTACGTGCCCCAGCTGATTTGCATTCTGGTTTACACTCAGCCATCTTCAACAAGGCCTATCCAATCAAAATAATAACATTAATAACTAGCATATACTAAATGGTTACTATATGCCAGGCGCTATTCAAACTTGTTTTATAAAGTCATGTGATGTATAACAATATTTCAGTCAATATACTATTGTGGTCCCATAAGAGTATAATACTGCATTTTTACTATGTACTTTTTCTATGTTTACATATGTTTAGATATATAAATACTTACCAGTGTGCTACATTTGCCTTCACTATTCAGTACCGTAACAAGGTGCACTGAGTTTGTAGCCTAGCAGGAATAGGCTATGCCATATATCCTAGGTGTGTAGAAGGCTACACAATCTGAGTCTGTGTAAGTACATACTATGATGTTCACACAACCGCATGATCGCCCAATGACACATTTCTCAGATCTCGTTAAGCAATGCATGACTGTCACATGACTGTATATAATTATTTATTCTCAGAAAAAACCCGTGAGGTAGGTGGTATTGTTATCGCTATTATGCAGATAAAGAAATAGATGCAAAAAAGGCTAACTCACCACATTCATAGCGCTTATAAGTGGTCAAGCTAGAATCTGAATCCAGGATGTCTGGCCTTTAACCAGACATAAGTTAAAAGTGCTATCGGTGCTACTAAGTAAAGGATGAAGGAGAGGAAAGATAGAGACAACATGGCTTCATGATCTTGAAAGAAAAAAAATATGTAAGTAGCAGTTGTAATCACTAAGAAGGGAGAAGAAACAGTCTCCACTGTAGAGAATTGCAAAGGAGGAGGCGCCACCAGAGGATAAAAAGCCTCCAATGGTTAATTGCTTCTTTTTTTTTTTTTTTTTTTTTGCGATGGAGTCTCACCCAGGCTGTAGTGCAGTGGCGCGGTCTCGGCTCACAGAAAGCTCCGCCTCCGGGGTTCACGCCATTCTCCGGCCTCAGCCTCCCGGGTAGCTGGGACTACAGGCGCCCGCCACCACGCCCGGCTAATTTTTTGTATTTTTAATAGAGACGGGGTTTCACCGTGTTAGCCAGGATGGTCTCAACCTCCTGAGCTCGTGATCCGCCCGTCTTGGCCTCCCAAAGTGCTGGAAGCCACAGGCGTGAGCCACCGCGCCCGGCAGGATATTTGTTTCTTAAAAGGGGGACAAACTCCTGGAAGAGGATAGATACGCCTGATTTTTTTCTCAGTGGAATTTCACTTGCCCTGGCAGGTGGGTGGCAGGGAGATCTGAGGCCCCTCGAATTACAGCTCCTGGGCCCTGCCTCAGAAAAGTCCATTCGTCTCGGTAAAGCCCCTCCCACAGACGCACAATGTGGCCGTCTTGAGCTGACTGAGGCTGGACGTGCAGTCAGCCGAGCACACAAAATGGGAACTGTTTGCCTCCGTGCAGCTGGCGCGCGTTTTCCGCTAGTCGCAGCTGCTTGGAGCCCAGCGCGCTGGCGGGGCCACGCCCCCGATGAATATTCATGCCTAGTTTGGGCTCAGAGCCCGGGATTTCAAAGCCCCTGAAGGGATTTGAAGGGGCAAAGGAGCTTCCTGATAGGGAGTTAGAAGGAAGGAGGGAGCCGGGCTTTGTCCAGGCTTGCTTTTGAGGACTACAAAGGGGAAGGGTCACATGGAAAGTCAAATCCCGGGTTGCTAATCTCGGCTAGGTCAAGTTTGCAATGAGAGCTAGCTCCTTCCTCCTTGTAATTTATTGAGTCTTTCAATGTCCTTCCACACAGACAACGTGCAGTTACTGGTGTTTCGCAGACAGGCTCTCTTTCTAGCACTGGGGAGCATGAAAACAACAGAGAGTAGGCTTTTAGCTGGGTTTTAAGCGCTTGCTTCATAACTCTTACCCAGTTAAATGCGATGACAACGCTCCTTTCTCTCACATGCTTCTGTGCATGGATTTTAATTTGCACACATTCTTTACCTAATCTATGATTTTTAGATATGTCAGTCTGTCATGGGCTAGAAACTTTAAAAAAACACTTTTAAAATACATATACTCTTAGGTCTAGTTGAGACACTAGTAAGTATTAACCATATTTATTAGTACTCACGTTTGGCTGTTATTTATATTAGTGGAGAGATTTCCCAGCATAGATCATCTGAAAGAGTAGATAGTTCCCAAATGCATTTCATTGACTTATAATACTAGGTGGGCTTTTGGGTAAGTGGATTCACTGTCTTTTGTTGTTGTTGGGGCCATAAAAGTGTTTACTTTAGAATCCACTTAACAGAAATTACTGGAACTTTATTGAGTGCCTCTATTCCATTAATCCCTCCATTAAGAGAGAGACTCTGCTTTTTACCTACCAATTGGAAATGGAAGAAATAACGTTGGGAAGAAACCAAAGAATAAACAGGAATATATTGTGAAAGCATTTAGCTACCTTAAATGAAGGCAAACCCCTCCCCAACTCCACTTCCATACCAGAGAACTGAACAAACATGCAGATATGAGGGTAGAACCACTGCGAGCAGCCCATGGGATCTTATGGGAAATAGGACAGGGATCAGACAAAGGACATAAACACACATCCCCATAAACTTGGATTCTAGCAATTATAGACAGACACATTTGCCATCAATCCCCAGCAAAGTTCTAGATTGGATAGTTAAGCAAGCAGTTAGTGAGCACTTTAAAAAGGTGACTCCTAAGAACCAGTAAGAGTTCATCAGAACTGGTCAAGCCAACCTTTATTTCCTTTTTATTTATTTTTAAAAAACAAAATGCTTGACTTCATCACAATCCCAAAAACAACGAACATCTTGGCAAAAGGATGACCTACGTCCCCCACCCTTTTTTTTTTTTTTTCTATAATAGACTCAGTATTCAGAATTGCTAAATTGAGTATCTGGTTGCTATATTAGTCTATTCTTGCATTGCTCTAAAGAAATACCTGAGACTGGGTAATTTATCAGAAAAGAGGTTTAATTGGCTCATGGTTCCACAAGCTGTACATAGTGGCATCTGCTCCTGAGAAGGCCTCGGAAAGTTTACAATCATAGGGGAAGGCACGGGGGAGCCAGCATCTTACATAACCAGAGCAAGAGGAAGGCGAGAGGGAGGTGCTACACACTTTTAAACACCCAGACCTAATGAGAACTCTATCAGGAGAATAGCGCGAAGGGGATGGTGCTAAATCATTCTTGAGAAATCCACCTCCATGATCCAACCACCTCCCAGCAGGCTCCACGTCCAACATTAGGGATTACAATTCAACATGAGACTTGGGTGGAGACACAGATCCAAACCATATCAGTAGCCAAAAGAGAATAGACTTTAGAGCCAGAGGGAACTGGGTTTCATTCCAGGCTCCGCAACTTACTATTTGTGTGAGTAGATTGGGCATCTCTGAATCTCAGTTGTCACAACTGCAAAATGAGAATAGAATATCTACTTCATAGATATTAAAGAAAATACATAGGTAGTCATAGGTACTCAAGAAAGGGCAATCCTTATTAAGATACAATTCAAAAGGTACAAATACAAACTCAGGAAAGAGAAGAGCTGAATCAAATAGTTCATATAGAAAGAATTTTTTAATTTATCAAAAGCTCAATATGAAATAACAAAGTAACATGTTTCAGGTGCAGACTGAAGTTTATTAATATTAGTACGTGGAAGCCAATAGTAAAAAGTCCCAATTAATTTTACTTGGTCGGATCCTATCTGAAATTCTCTGCCCCCTTTTGGGTAGCACACCTGAAAGGGAGCACGGAAAAATTAAATAACATCCAGGATGATGTAAGACCCAGGAACCACAATATCTGAGAAATAATTGAAAGAAATGGTGTTTTTTATCTAGAAGAGGTTACAAAATGACTGTCTTCTGATATTTGAAGAGCTATGACGTAGAATAGGTATAAAGTGGGTTTGTATGGCTCTAAATGGTAGAATTAGGAGACATGATTAGACATTGCTGTGAGATAGATTTTGGACTCAAACATGTAGAAGAGCTGTTCAACGTTGCAATGAGCATTTCTGAAAAATAGTAAGCTCACAATTAATGAAAGAATTCCTGCAATGGGTAGAATTCAGCTGTCAAGAATAGTGTAGAAGAGATTATGGCATTGGAAAAGAGTGGCCTAGTCTTAGAGTTAGTCATACACCATATACATGCCACCACCCCCAGCAATGGGAGGCTATTACTAATCAATGACAGCTGTCTTCCCTGCTGAGCTAAACTCAGTCTAGCAATCCTTCTCAATACAATGCTCCAAGCCATCCCCACCAATTTATCAGAGTTGACAACCTACCCAACCCAGATGATCCCTTAGTGTCTCTGAGATCCTATAACTTAAAATTTTCCCCCAATAGCATGTCTATAAAATATGTCTGTAAATTAACTAGAAGAAAAGTCATAGTTAAGCACAAAATATTTCCAGGTATCTGTGTATGTTTGTGTGTTTATGTCTGTATATGTACATATATGTGTGATAATATGTACATGGCTACTCCAAAACAGGAATCTTATGAGGGAAATAACATATTGGTCACAGGAGCCCTTAAATAGTGACTCTCATTTATGATATGCCAATAGTTAATGATATTGCTTTCTCCTTCACAAAAATTCAAACATTTTGCTACCCTATTCCACCCCTTATAAAATTTCAAACTTATTTTGTAAGTCGTAACTTTTGGAGCATCACAGGCAGGTTGGTAGAAAATGAGAGAATGTGAGGAATTGGCAGAAATAGTGCCAGAGTACTTGTAAACTCTCAAGAAAAGGGAGGGTTTTTATTAGTAAACAGAAATGGCCAAAGAGAAGCCAATAAGAGACTAAATTACAATGTTCAAAGGTATTAGCAAACTTAGATTCCAAACTAATGGGTGGGCAGCAGGAGATACTCCTGGAAAGAGTCCTGGTTGAAGACAGGTAGGTGGCAGCTCATATTTTGGCTCCCTAGCTAACAATTAAGAAGAACAAAAATTCCAGTTTAACTCCCAAGGAGAGGGAAGAAGGTGCAAAGATAATTCAGTGAAGAAAAGATATAGTCTTTTCAATAAATAGTGCAGGAATAATTGGATATCAGGATGCAAAAACAAAACTCCTGAGTCCTTCCCTCTCACCATTTAGAAAATGAACATGAATCATAGATCTACATACAAAACTTATTAACTATAAAATTTAACATTTTCTTTAAAAAATTAAAGTAATTTCAAAAGTGAGTCAGTTTAAAGACAAATGTAAGTAAATAACGATATATACAAGTGGGATACAGATATGCAAAAATTATGAAGTTGACACTCCCCCACTGCCCTTTAACACACTGCCTCCGAGGGCTGAGAGGTATCATAGCTCCAGTCAGGCAGGATGGTGTTTAATAAAGAACTCAGTTTCAGGAGGAATGTCTGTCAAACCAGGAGACTCTGCCAGAACTTCATTATGTGGGCATGGGAAACTGTTGGATGAGGATGCAGGGAAGCTGCCATTTACAGCCCAGTGTTTCCCTAGACTCCCAGGATCTCAAGTTTAGGAGACAGGAACATGAATCCTAGTTGTCACTAGTCAACACTTGTGCAGCTACTTTTCAGTGGCCTGGCTTGAACATAGTGGGCTCAGCTGGGCAGGCAAAAACCTGAAAAGTAAATGTATTAGCACCTGCAACTAATTGAGCTGAGTAAGGTAGGAGAAAGGTATGTGCTTCTCATCTCATGTCTTAAATTCTTGGACCTTAAATTATGATGTCAGTTACAACATCTTCCTTTATTTAAATCAAATTCCACTCTCCAATACATCAAGAATTCTTTTTTTTTTTTTTTGA